GTTTACTGGACCCAAAAGCCTCCTTATCTGTGTCCCCTCATTCTGAGACCCCTCTACCCACTAAGGCATAGTAGACTGGGTAAAGATGTCAGGTCCAAGTTCAGCTGGGAGGACTGACCTTGAGACACTCGTTGGCACTCCGCGTGGTCAGTGCAAAGTGTCCCAAACCCGCCTTTGCCTGACTAGACCACATTTTTTTTTTTTTTTGGAGAGGTTTTTGCTACAGGGCGCGTGCGCTCTCCAGACAGAGACAGAGAGACAGAAAGCGAGAAATCATCCCCCCAGGAGGGATGGTCACACCGCAATCCCTTCTCCTCCATTCTCATCTTGAGATCTTGGGTACACACGCATACACACGCACCCGGCCTGAGTTTTAAGCCACCGGGTCCAGGACGCGAACTGCGGTCGACTACGTGGGAGTCCAGCAACATAGCCATTATGCTAACTGCTGGTTCCCTAGACCACATTTTTCAGGCCTGGGCAAGAGTCAGAAATCTGGCCCCAACCAGGAGTCCCCAGGCCTAGCAGGTCACATCCCCTAAGTCGACATAGTGACTAAAATTCAAGCACTCACGTGCTCCCTGAGGTAATGACCCTGTGAAGGGAGTGCTATATGAAACCCATTTTACAGATGAGGAACCTGAGAACTCAGAGAACAAGGAAAACCTGCTTAAGTCACATGGCTGGGCTGGACTCAAACCTCAGCTTGTCCAATTACAAAGCCTTGAGCTACCACATGGGGCCAACTCGAGGAGAATCAAAGCCAAGTAACCCTCCCGTCCTCACTCTGGGAGATGCCCAGCACCTTGTTGGAATCAGGGTCCGTGGGTCAAATCCCTCTCTTCTCTGTATCCTTGCCTCCAGCATTACCGAGAAGTATGCTACCACTCTGACCTGTTAGTTACGTTTTCTTTTTTTTGGTGGGGGAGTGTTTTTGGTTTTTGCCAGAGGGTGTGTGCACTTGCTAGAGAGAGAGAGAAGGGGGTTTAGAGGGACAAAGCACCCTTGAGGGGCATGGTCACACCCCAATCTCTTCTCTATTTCTCCATCCTGTTGGGATCCTGGCATGCATGCACACATGCCCAACACGTTTTCAAGCCACCAGGGCCAAGACCTGAGCCGACACTAGCTCTTTTAACCTCTAGGCTACAGGGCAGGTCCCAGAGTTAAGTTCTTTCTTCTTGGAAGTATGTCCATTTTTCTCTTAGTCCTTGGAGTTCGTCCATCCTGCCAGGTAGACCTTGGTATGCATCTTTTCCTCATCCTTCCAGCTCAGAGCTTGGCATCCTTCCAACCTACACATTCTTTTGGGCTGAAGACCTTGTTTTTGATATTCCTTGCTCACTTCAGGTTTCTGTTTTGGGAATATTAATTATTTGTACTTCTTTGTTATTTTTCTTCCCCAGATAGTCCCGAGATAGCATCTTCCAGGACAGTATTTGGATTGGATTGTCAACCTTTTCTGTTATTCATCCATTTGCTTTTTAGTTTGGAAATCAAATCATTTCTTTTTTTTTTTTTTTTGCTATAGGGCGCATGCTCTCGCCAGAAAGTCAGAGACACAGAGACAGAAAGAGAGAAATTACCCCCCGGGGGGATGGCCATGCTGCAATCCCTTCTCCTGCAGTCTCCTTTTTGGATCCTGGGCACACACGCACACATGCCCGGCATGAGTTTAAGTCACTGGGTCCAGGACTCGAACCGAGGTCGACTACATGGGAGTCCAGCAACATAGCCATTATGCCCACTGCTGGTCCAATCAAATCATTTATTAAAACTCCAAGAAGTCGTTTTTTGGTTTCACTCCAATTTTCCTGAGGTTATTAATTAATTAATTATTTTAAGTAAACTAATACTTTGGGCTATAAAAAATGCTGAAGTTGGGGCCAGCAGGTGGTGTAATGGTTGGGATGTTGGACTCCTACATGGGTGACCACGGTTCAGGTTCCAGACTTGGTGGCTTGCTTTCTCAGTTTCCTTCTCTCTTTGTCTCTCTCTGGTCAAGTTTAAAAGCGATAATAATAAAAAATGAATAAAATGAAATAAATATTTTTTAAAACAATGAAATTAATACACCACTGTATTTTCAAAATTGAGATTTGTTGTATCACATTACAGTTGAACATAAATCCCCACTTTTCTCAAACTTTGGCTTGTCATGTGTGGATATTCCCGAATTCTAAATTAAGAGTCACTGATATACAAAAGATCCTCTGCATAGAAAGGCTTCAATAAATATTTATACTTAAATTAACGGCCTTTGAATTTAGGGTTAAAATCATTCTTGTCTGGGACCAGCAGATGGTGTAACTGCTACGTTGCTGGACTCCACATGTTGACCACAGTTTGTGTCCCGGGCCTGGGGCTTTAAACTTACACTGGGCACATGTGTATGCATGGCCAAAATCCCGAGAGGAGACTGGAGGAGAAGGGACTGCAGCATGGCCATCCCATCCCTGGGGGAGGGGGCGTGATTTCTCGCTTTCTATCTCTGTGTCTCTGTCTCTCTGGCGAGCACACACGCCCGATAGCAAAAAAATCTCTCTAAAATATAAAATCATTCTAAAAGCAGTGTGTAAAATCATTTAATTTTGTCTTCTTTTAAAAGTGGCCATTGTGGTATGCAGTGGGTGGCATGGAGGTTAAGGCACCGGATCCCAATTGACCAGCTGTGCAGTTCAAGTTCTGGACCTGGAGGCTTGAAAATCACACTGGGCATGTGTGCATGCGTGCCTAAAATCCTGAGAGGAGACTGGAGAAGAAGGGAGTGCAGCGTGGCCAACCCCTGGGGAGGTCATTTCTCACTTTCCCTCTCCATCTGTCTCCTTCTGGTGAGCACATACATCCTATAGCAAAAGCTTAAAAAAAAAATAAAAAAGGCAATGGGGGCCCAGCCGTAGTGGTAATTGGTACCAACTAAATTGCAGTGCTAGAAGTCACACTGCCAGTCAGAGGTTCAGATGCCCGGGTTGGCCTAAAAACACGCCAGGCACATGTGCAAGTGCCCAAGATCCCGACAAGGTGGTGGGCCAGAGAAGGGGAATTGTGGTGTGATGAGACCCTGTTGAGTGTGCTTCTCTCTCTCTCTCTCATGCATGCTCATGAATAGCATAAATAAACGTAAAAGAATTGTCATTGGGTAGAGAACTGTTAATGAGTAATTTTTAAAACTTATCATTCAATAAAATTGACCTTTGTGGGTTTTTCTTTTTCAATTTGTTGTTGTTGCATCTCTCATGAATTTTGACAGTTAAATTTTGTGATTTAAAAAAAAAAATGCCAGAGGTTGTGCATACTCCCCAGAGACAGAGAGAGAGAGAGAAAGCGAGAGAGAGAGAGGAAGCGAGAAAGCAAAAGTACCCCCAATGGAGAATGGTCATGCTGCAACCTCTCTCCTCCATCTCTCCCTTTCAGGATTTTGGGCACCCCTCCACACACGTGCACAGGCACCTGGTGTTTCTCAAGCTGCTGGGTCTAAGACTCAGACCATGGAGTGGGCCATGTGGAATCCAGCGGCCTTAACCTGCTCAGACAGCCTAGCTGTACAGGTACCCATGAGGGACACACTTAGACACACACTCCTGTGGGGCCAAGCCCATCCTGAGCATTAACCAAGGGCTCGCTACTCCCACCTTGCCTCCTTCACATCTGCTGTGGCTGCAACAAACTCTTCTCTTGGCCCTTTATAGCTACCGACTGCTCGCATGAGGTTTTAACGAAAATCTATGGTGTGCCGATTAGCTGGGGAAACATTTATTCTGGTGTTGTCACAGGGTCCTGGCCGAAAAGCTCCTCTGACCTGTGTGCACGTGCTTGTGTGTGAGCATGCATGGATGTATATGCGTGCATCTGTACGTGTGTGCATGCATGCACCTGTGTGTGTGTGCATTTTTTTGCCATGTGTGCCTATGAGTGGCTACACATGTGTACATTTACATGGGCACACATGTAAAAATGCATCTTTTATTAACAGTTCTGTTCAAAGAGGCTCCTGGGTAGGACAGCCGGTGGTGTGGTGGTGAAGGTGGCTGGATCGCACACGGCTGACTGCACGGTTTGAGTCCCAGACTCAGTGGCTTGAGATGTACATCAGAGATGTGTGCGTGTGCCCCCCAGATCCCAAGAACAGAATGGAGAAGGGACTGCGGTGTGGCCATCCCACATGGCAGATACTTTCTCACTTCCACTGTCTCTCTCAAGCACGTGTGTGCCTGTTACCAAAAACCCCCAAAAAAGGCTCCTGGGTAATTCTAACCTATGCATGATTGGAGAGAGGGGGGGAAAAAAAAAACTGACTTTTTTTTGTGTGGTCCTTGTCCCACCAAAACTAAACTTTTTTCACCTGAGCAGGGAAGTGAGTGCTAGCTGTCGTTGAGGAAGGACTTGCTTGGGCCTCACCTCCTTTCAATCGCAGGGAACCTAATAAGAAAATGTATTTATTTTACATTCTGGAAAACCCTAGACCGTAAGTCCTTCTGTTCAAGACCCCAGTGGGTGATGTCTCTCTCTAAATACATACGTATATAAAGTAAAGGACTGTGTGCTCCCGATGGTCTGGGGGGGAACCCAACTGAGTTGTGACTGCTTAAATAGGGCGGCTGGGGAAAACCTCATTCAGAAAGTAATTAGAGCAAAGACGTGAAAGAGGCGAGAGGAGGCACTGTCCAGACGCCGGAAGGAAAAGCCCCGGGCAGAGGGGGCTGCAGGTGCAGAGGCCCAGGGGTGACACCTGCACCCGGTCATTCTGGAGGACATGAGCAGTCTCCTCTCCCTGCCATTTCCTTCCTCAGAACGGACAAGTGCAGTCTCCCTGGGCAGGCGGCGTCTCTGCCTGTGCCTCTGACCCGGCGCCGTCCCTTTAACCTTGAGTGCCTTTTTGGGTCTCACGTGTCACTTGGCAGCAGAGAACGAGCGGCCCTTACTTCAGAAGAACGGCATGGGGTGGGGGGGCCTTAGGTGGTGGCCTCACCTATTACAGCCAAAAGCGGTCATGGGCTATTTTTAAACTTGGGGAGGAAGTATTTATTGTTCGGGCGAGGAGCGCTGGGCAGCGGGTGGAGTTCTTTCCAGAGCCACGCTGTGTCCCTCACTATGGTGAGTACCTCAAGGGCTCCACGAGGTGGTGATCCTGGGTGGGCAAGACCAGGAGCATCTGAAAGCAGAGGACTGAAGGGGAGGGACAGAAAGGCGGCTTTCAAGGACTCTGGCCCCTTGTGGAAAAGCACCGCTGGCCGTGTGCGCACAGAGGAACCCCAATCGATGCCCCGATAGGCCACAAATAACAGCAGCTCCTGGGGCCTCACAAAAACAAAATAAGAGAGTTGGCTTTTTTATGGCTTGTCTACCGACCTCTGGAGGAATCAATAACTCCCAGGGCTTGCAAAATGGGATTGACAGCTTTTAAGAATCAAATAGTAATTCTTTTCTCTTGTTCAGGCAGCTGGGGAAAAGAATCTTTTGTTTTCACCTTTTGAACTTGCAAATTTAAAACCATTCTCCCTGTGTCGTTGGGTTAGGTGGCCCCCTCCTGAAGCAGGCAGCCCTCAGATTAGGGTCAGAATAGAGGCAGGAACTCTGGAGTCAGAATGCCAAGTTCAACTTCAGCTCTTCCTGTTAGCGGCTGTGTGGCCTTGGGCAAGTGACTTAACCTCTCTGAGCCTCAATGACCCTCCCCTATAGAATGGGGGATGAAAATAGCAGCATTCACTTGACAGCAGTTACAATAATAAAATGCAATAATAATAATAACATATGCACAGTGTTTAAGCATTGGCTTTATTATTTAAAGCCAAAGAGAAATGAGGGAGAAATGTTAGCAGGCTCTACTCTGCACTGCTGACGGATGTTTAGAAAGGGTTTTTGCGGCCATTCGTATCAGAGCGAAGTTGTAGGGCAGGGAGAACAGTTGGACTTGAACACCCTGAAAAGGTGTCATTTCATCCGGGCATTTATCATGGCTTAGTGGGCCTGACTTTTTCTTCCCTGCCAATCAATTCTCCTCCTGTGCATTACTGAGCTTTCTGTGAAACGCATCGGAACAAAAGTGGCTGGATCCTGCCAAGGCTGACCTGCAGGCGTGGCCTCCGCAGCCACAGCCACACCTGCTCCTTTTCCTTGTTCGCAAAGGAGCCACTGCAAGACCTGCAATTTCTTTTTTTTTTTTTTTTTTTTTGAGAGGTTTTGCTATAGGGCGTGTGTGCTGGCCAGAAAGCGAGAGAGAGACAGAAAGCGAGAAATCGCCCCTCAGGGGGGATGGCCACGCCACAATCCCTTCTCCTCCATTCTCCTCTCGGGATCTTGGGCATGCACGCACACACACCCAGTGTGAGTTTTAAGCCACTGGGTCCGGAGTCCAACGACATAGCCATTATGCCAACTGCTGGTCCCCACCTGTGATTTCTTAGGAGCCACCAGGACGAGGACTCTTGAAATTTTGTCTGTGTCCTTTTATCCACCCAGCATGATCATTTTGAGATAGGAGTTTGGGCACTGTACCCCCATTTCACAGACGCGTAGCTGAGTCCTGCAATGTGGACTAACTCACCCAGGGATGCCGTCTGACCTGGCTTTCAATTCCAGCCTCTGACTTTTTCGATGGATGCTTTATCCCCCAGGCACCAAAGAAAGCCAAGAAAAGAGCAGAGGGCGCCAACTCCAATGTGTTCTCCATGTTCGAGCAGACCCAAATCCAGGAATTTAAGGAGGTGGGTGCAGCTGGGGGGACCATCCGCCGGGATGGCAGCCCCACTCCTTACAGAAACCCTTCCCTCCCCCCACATTCCCAGCAGGGACCTTCAACCAGATGCTTCTGCCCTCCCAGCCCTCCCAAACCCAGTCTGAATGTGCGTGTGAACCTTCCGATATTGGATTTTTAACAGCAGTCGGTGATTATCAAAGTAAAACATATTCCTTGTTTAAAATGAGAACATCTCCAGAAAAACACAAAGAAGAAAATAAAGCTACCTATAATTCTACGACCCAGAGAGACAATCACTTCGCACTTGAGTGGATTCCCTTCAAGTCATCTTGTTATATATGTATATATTTACTAAACAAAGTTGCAGCCCACTGTGCCCGCTGGATGGTACCTGCATTTTCTCCCTTTGATCAACTAGCGTCAACATTACCTACCATTTACTGAAACTGCTTCCTGTGTTGGGTGTTACGTTCCTTTAGCATGTTTTATTTACTTTGATAAATAACACATCTTTGCTTGTATCTCTGGTTATTTCCTTGGGGTAAATTCCTAAAAGCAAAACTGTTGCATCAAAGAAACTTAAAAAAAAAAAAAAATCCAGAGGAATTTAACACAAGCAGCACTGCCAGTCCAGATTGCCCTCCGGACACACGGCACCACTTCCTACTCCCATCAGCCCCAAGAAGAGAGAGCTTTTTCCCACATTTTTCATCACGTGAGATTTAAATGTTTATTTCTCCCATAAGTGTGTGTGTGTGTGAGAGAGAGAGAGAGAGAGGGAGACAGCACCTTCAACAGGGTCTGGCCCCCTGACCACCCCAGCCTCAGCCAGCCCGAATCATGGGCACACATGCACCCAGCATACTCAGAGAACTCTTAAACCAGGAACCTTCCATGTGAGTCTGCTTTGGTCTGGTTTTACTGCTACACCACTGTCTGGCCCCTACATTAATGGTCAAAAAAGTGCAGAAGAGGGCTGGCAGGTGACTTGGTGGTTAAGGGTGCTGGATTCCCACATGGCCAACTGTGGTTCAAGTCCTGGACCTGGCAGCTTGCTTTCTCACTTGCCCTCTCTATGTCTCTGGTCAAATTGAAATAATAATAATAAAGTTAAATGAAAAAAAAAAAAAGGGGCAGGGACTAGAAATGGCATAATGGCC